GCCAGGCTGGGGTGACTCAAGAAGCTTTTACGTTCACCCTGCCAATAGGTCCAGGCTCCCAGCGAGCAGAATTTCCTTCCCAGCAGGGGCTGGGCTGTGGCTGACCTGCTCTAAGAGTAATCTGCACTGTGTCTCCTAGAGAAAAAAAAAAAACATACTGCAATGCAGCTGGCAGGATGAAAGTGGTAGTATCCTATTAATTAATGAAATAGCTCTGCTCTGTTAGAGTTACGACAGCTCCCCGCCTCTTGAGGCAAAGAAAGTTTCTGGTTAGGCTGCTGGATGGAATACGTGAGCTACAGCAGCTTACACCAAAGGCAACTTCGTGACACTTCTTACAGCACTGACTAGTATCAGCCACTGTGCTTTTTTGGTATTAAGATAAATACCAGCATGAGATCTAAGCTGGTAGGACAACAAACCAGTCGTTAGGAAAGCAGGAAAATTACCTTCTACATTTGCAACTCAGTCATTTTTTTACAAGAAGCTTTGCAAACAAAATCTAAAACAAAACCCATAAACTTCAAAGCCTGCATCAACATGAACTAGGCTTCCTTTCGCACAGAGGGCAGGAGACCTCATCTGCACATAGCTCATTCAGTCTTCAGGTGGGACCCACTCTGCTGAGCTTAGGCACTCATTTTTCACATACTTTTAGGCACCCCACTGAGCAATCCTTACTGCCTTATTCTCTATCTAGTCCAAACAGAGGAGGCACTTACAACTAAGGCAACAGGTATCTCGAAGGGATGAAGGCTGCTATGAGTGTCTCGTGTCTGTCTGCCTCTCTCTCATATGTCCATCTGCAGAGGGGGATGGCAGAAGACTTACTGCCAAGCCCCCGCTGAGGTGGATGTGCTGATGAAGATGCCACTGCTGTAGCCCCTCATCATCACAATAGCTCCTTCTGCAGCGCCACAACCTATTGCCACATTGCCCATTCTGTTCTGACACAAACTGTAACGTCACTGACTGCTAGGTAAGATGGACAGGCTGTCTGGACAGGGATTTCAGCCCAGAGAAGGGAAATCAAAAATGCAGAATAGAAAAACAGATGGCATACGCTTCATTAAAATAATATCTTGCCTCCTGGGGATCCCATGAGGATCCGTTGCTTTCCAGTGGATATGGAGCCCCTGAGATTTGCACTTGGGGATTATTCTGTTCCTCCCTCTCTCCTTATCACAAGTCTCTTCTGTTTTCAAAAGGCTTGTGGTATGTGCTCCATCTGGATATGCCGCCTAATAAGGATGTGCTGGAGACATCTCCTAAGCACTAATGTATACCCAGCCCCCCCTCAGTGCTGTCAGGAGCCTCCTTATCAAGTGATTGGAAAGAAAGAAAGAAGCATGGCTTAGCCTTGCAGTTCCTGACAAAAAGACAAAGTGGTAGTGTTAGAAAAGCAAGAAATGCATAATTAATATGGGTATAATATCAATAAGAGTTTAAGATGATGAACTACATGAACTGGGAGATGTTATTTCCCCTCGGTGTGAGGCTCTCCTCTTTTTTCAATGCGGCCCCAGCAGCAAGCTCAGTGTTTTACTGTTTCACTTATAAACCAGGTGTAACCTTTAGGAAGTCACTAGAAATATAATCCACCTGGGAAATTTTTCTTGTATCTAAATGACTCCCCCACCCTCCGGAAACATGTGGCCAAATGCATGTATTCAGAGGGCAAGAAACAACCAAGGAAAAGACCATTCAAGCAGCAGGATAAATCTGTGTTCAGTGTGTGCAGCACAGCACACTCTTTCGGTCACACTTCAATCACTGCGGCCTCTGGAAGCAAAAGTTGTATTCATGCTGAGTTGGTATTTAATTGAGCTCACTTGAACCAAGCTTCCAGCAAGCACATATGACAGATTTACATATGAATCCTCACAGAGTGAAAAAATGACATTTATCAACCTTCCATCAGAGCATTTGACATTTGAACAATTGATTTTGATTTAACAGCGAAAAATGCCACTACCTATATGGAAAACCAGCAATAGGATTAAACCCCAGTTGCCACAATTCCCAACAATGGCCCTGCCAGTTAATCTATTAAACATTTATGTATTACCTTAACTTTGCCTGGCCTTAAAGAGATTAAAAACCCAATCCAAATCCTGAGAAGTTTAATGCAGAAGAGAAGAAAAATACCTATTTGGAGGAACAGGGGCCAGAGCTGGAAGATGCGAGTTATTAAGCTTGCAAAACTTTACAATTAAAATTGTAAAGGCTGGGCAGGCTTCAAGAATAACAGGAGCGGGAGCTGATGTGGATTAAAGGCATGTTATACTGGCTACAGACAATACCGTTAGTCTCGTTTTTCCCCGTGTAACCTAGAGCTCATCTGGGTACAGCTAAGAGTAGATAGTCAATCCAAATATTGCTAGGTATGTGTTCACCTAATTAAAGAGGTGCGTTGCTTCCACAGGTAGAAAGAGGTGTTTGAGCTGACTTCCCTATGGAGACAAGGCAGGAAGATGGTCGTCAGCCTTGCAAGACAATTCCTCTTAAGCAGGTAGGTTTCACCCACTATCACCTTCATAAGCACATAGGTGCTGAGTATCCACTGGGCAGGAGCACTAGCTGGAAAGGAGGTCCTGGCAGTGGTGCACCTCCATCTTCCGCACCAACTCTTCCAATGCCTCTCTCTGCCTCTTTACTGATGGATAGCAGCATTCAGCAGTCCTTAACGAAATAAAATTTTCCCTGTGTGGGAAAGTAGAAGTTCTGGCAGAAAGTCTAATCATTACGTTGCATCTGTTCCCTGTAAGAAAGCTGGTCAGCTCTGAAGAAGTGCACCTGTGGTGTATTTTCGTGTATTAGTCTATTTGAACAGTTACCTTGCAATAAACTAATGCAACAGGCTTCTTCTTCCTTAGTCGCCTCCAGTTGGTAAATTCCAGTTTACAGCAGACCGAGTTTCTCCTGTCATACTTTTTCCAATTTCTATTATTCTAGGTTTCATGTTTTTTCCTGTATGGCACTTCTGAGTCTTTATTGTATTGATGTCTCCCAAATACACCACGACTAAATGTTCTCTACTGACTCCTGCTTTTTGTATCAAAGTCATTAACAAACACATAAATGAAATGACTGCTAGGGAACTCCATTAACAATGCCCTTTCTTCCAATACTTTCTTCTTCAGTACTACCTGATGTGTTTTGAGTTCCTGGGTTTCTCAATCTACTGGCTTTGCTTAAGCACTTAGTTTATAAAACTGAGGTTTGTTACACATCTACCTCAAATTACCTTTTCATTTAATTTGTGTGAAATGAACTTGTTATCCCCGAATCCAGATCTATTTCCTATGATCACATCTCCTCTAATGTCCCCATGACTTACCAAAGCCAAGTCTAAAATAGCACCATTTCCTGTCATGTTAGCGAATCTCTGGAGGATATTTTTATTGCCTAGAAATCTAACAATATCTCAGACTTACCAATAATAGTATCAATTGCTCTCCAACCTGATTCCTGATGCTAAATTGTCCAAAACAACTATTGCAGTAGTAATTATCTCTCTAATAACATTACAGAACTCTCTTGGCAATGAAAAAGGATCCTGGTGGCATATGGCACGCTGGCAGTGATAATTTCTTACCAAACTGTGAGCTGTGCTGTCATTAACACATACTGCTGCTGCCTGCCTTCTCCTGAAAAGCATCCACTGGTTTAGAGTACTCATGACTATGATTTCAGGACAGATCTACTGTCCCAATGCACCTGCTTATATCCTGTATCAGCAGCTCAAGGTCCTCCACATTGCTGTATAATCTTTCTGCGTTTGCATATCCACCTTCCTACCTTCTCTTTCCTAGTCACCCTTTCAGCAAGATCTTGCCAATTCAGCTACTTTTTTCCTTTGCCATCTATGGGTCTACTCTGTGACATTCCATTCTGCTCTCCTATGACCAGATTTGTCTGATTATTCAATTTACTATGTACTCAGGCAGAGCATTTCAGGCATTTCACAAGCACCCCCAGCCTTTTCCTGGTGTTTATTTCAGGCTCCTCTTATAAATGAGGCCAACATTAGCATTTGCAGTAGTACTGCAGGTCCTTTGGGTAAAACCTGTCTATTGAGAACATCTCTTCATAATCACTCACCAATGGCCAAACTTTCCCAAACCTTCTGCAAACCTTAGCTCCCTATCACTCATCTGGTAGGGGCCAGACCTATTCCACTGAACAAGTGGGTACCCATTTCTTTCAGAGCCTTCCTCAACATGGCACAGTCACCCTCAATCAGCTCCAGCAGCATCCTCTCAGTGTCATTTATTCTGATGTGAAGGACAACCAGGGGACTGGCTTCCTGCTCCTACTGGGAAATTTTGAGATTTAGATTCCCGTTTTTTATCCATGCTCTGAGCAAAAAAAAGCACATGGTTCCTTTGACTTGTCCTTCTTGAGGTGGTATGGCACAATAGAGGCTCCAGTTTTGGAGGCAGGACAGCCATGTGTGGGTTGCTGTCCTCTTGTAAGCATTTTCCTTGCAAGGAGGCAGTGCATTGTGATAACTGGATGATTCTGCTTCCAAAACTTAAAAAATATTGCTCAGAAATAGCACAAGTATTTGTATGTGAATCTTTACAGACCTACATGCCCTCCATCTCACAGTAACACAGCTTTTTTCCCAGTAGTGGTCCAAGTCTCTGATCCTTTCCCTTTTGTTTGCAATCATTCTGTCTCGTTTTTACAGTCCCTCTATATTATCATCATTCTTTACCTAGCCAAGCCTTGATCTTAGCTTGATAAAAATCTGTAGGTTTAAAAAGCTATGCCTTCCTTTCAAGGCATAGCTTCCTTCCTCTACCACAGCCCGAGATACAGGGTCCTTACATGTTTGTAGGTCAGTTCCCCCGGCAGCAGAATCACAGTGATGAAACTGCTCTGCGAGGCGTTTGAGCTGGGTGGTATCCTCAGCCACAGGCACGGGGATCTGCATAAGATCCCACGAGTACCTCACCATACTTCAGACCTTGGATCCGTCAGCAAAGACTCACCTAATTTCACTTGAAGTGGGGACGGCTTGTAGTTCATGGCTACAGTCTCTCCCTCCCTCGTATCACAATCTCTGTCCGAAATAGACGCAGCCGTTGGATCCTGTTGAGAAAGAAAACAAAACAGAATGGTTTAGCTGAAAGTTACGCCATCTGTGCTTTAACTGGCTGTTAGGCCAGTCCATTCCCACCCGCATTCGTAGGGAGCAGAGAACATGTCGGTGTTTTGAACATCTGAAATCCGGGGGCAAACCACAGAACTTCGGAAGCACGTTTAGTGTGCTAAAAGTACCTCTGGAAATACCAGATTTCAACATCAGAGTTGTATGATGGATGATTCTGGGAATATAATGCGGGGTAGGCGGGGGGGAAGGGTCATCAATTCAAACTCAGCCTGGGCTGGCAGTAGTCCCAAACCATTTTCATGTGATGACTCTTTGGGGTGTCGTATGAAATGCATTTACAGCTTCAGCCGAGTTCCAAGCGGACCAGTCAACCTCATGATTTTTAAAACTAAAAAGCTCATGACCACCTGTGCCAAATTCCAGCTCGGAAGGAGCAAGGACTGAATGAGTAGGAGAATTCAATCTTGGTTTCTCCTGGGACAGGGATGAAGAAGTCTGTATGTCCCATGCTGGACTTATTTTGTGGCTAATCAGAAAGATTTAATTTCAGTATCTGTCAGCACACTACCTTTCACTGTCACTGAAATCCCCCTGAAAACCAAGCTCCTCAAAGGCAGAGTCCGCTCTATCATCCCTACTTGCAGACAACCTAATCCAGGTAGTGTCCAGCTCTATGGTACAGCACATCAAAGGATTCAGAGAGGGACAAACTACCAATTCAGGCAGTTCTACCACTGCTAAAAACATTTAAAGTCCTTTCACGGCAAACTTCAAACCTGCTGAAACTATTTCTACTTAGCACGACAGTGAAAACTGGTTTTCAAACACGTTCACTTCTTCCCACTTAGAAGCTTGAAACTATATTGAACATGCACACATATATATACATTTATGTGGATGTAAATTTGGATTTTTATTAGGTAGAGCTGCACAGGGAAAACAAACATCCAATATGAGGTCCAATATCTGAAGAAACCACCATTTTGTAAGAAATGAAACAAAGCATCAGAAGCTAAATACTAGAAAATATCGTTCCAAACTGGCAAATTGATACTGCCCATCTCTCTTTGCTCTGAGTAAAAATATCACTTGGTGAGCCACTGCCCTTCCTCCCCAGTGCTTACCTTCTTTCTGCAGCGAACACTCGCTCTTTTTAATACACTGTGCTTTTGAGGTAAAATGTGATTCTTGAATTAGGCTCTGTCTTCACAGAAACTGGTCAAATAACATATGTAGGGTTATAATGTTTTGTTAAAATTCTGCTGCTTTGCAGAATTTGAACCCAGTAGTCTTTGACAGTACTTAAAATGGATGGTGCTTACAAGACTTTGCATTCAATGACATTAAATAGATAATGCTGAACTATATGCAATTTTTTCCGCTTTTCCCTAACGCAGTTTACTCAATGCACAGTCTAGTGCAGTCACTGCTGCACTTTTCCTCTAATGCAGCAGTCTCATGACTGGTTAAAGAGCTTAGAGCAGGCTGCAAACAAACAAGCAAGCCTCCAGAAAAACACAGGTATAAGTGATGAATCACATATATTTTAGGCTGAAAATGTTACCTTAATAACCACATTAAACGACAAAATAGAGCAGCTGAATGGCAAAAATACAGAAGTTGAAATTAGCTGAAGCTAACAGTGAAGTGGTACACAGAAGAAAAACAATTCCAACTTTATATATGAAAATGATGAGCTGTAGCTAGCTGCTGTCACTCAAGGAAGAGATCTCAGATGACAGGCTCCACCAGACGACCATCTAGACAGACCAGGGCTCTTCAGCGAGGGAGGGACAATGGACGGGGGGTCTGGGAGATGTCTAAATAATCCTGAGTGGGGTGAGAAGGTGAATAGGGATTAACTAGCTCTTACTTTCTACAAGCATGAGATATCAAGTGGCAGTGAACAGGCAGCAGCTGGAACCAAAGTCTATACAGCAGATGATGTGCTGCTGTGGATGCCTAAAGGGGCTCAGGAAAAGGGCAAGAAAAATGCATGGAAGGAATATCTATCAAATTCAAAAGCACTGTTTCTGGCTCAGGCTGCCCTCAGGCACAGATTGCTGGAGGCGGGGGGACCAGGGAGGCATCACTGTGGGCTCACCCTGTCCTTGTCCTCTTGGGGACACAGCACAGGGGTAGGTGAGACCTTTAATCTGACCTGAAATAGCCATACTTATTTCTGTGTCAGAGCTTATTCTATGATCTCAACTGAAGACCACTTCTTGTGGCATCCTTGTGACATGGGATTTGTCTCCAACACACGCAGTTAAGGGCCTACACCTTAATCCAGGCTGTAGGAGAGGATATTCATGGGAATGGCCAGATCATAGAAAGGACGTGGCTGTCTCCCAGACACGCCAGAATCTCTCCAAGTGGGTTGGATAAGGTGGTAAATGGCTTGAGTCCAGGCTTCCTGGATGAGAATCTTTCCTCTGGATACAGCTGGTTTTAAGAGGCATGACTCCTAGAGCTGGATGCTTCCTAGTGCTACTGAACACACACAAGTCCCTGGACCTCCTGGCTGCAGGAAAGCATGGGAGTAGACATATTACGGTAAAGTTCATGGTGTGATGCCCACATACTGTCTCCTGTGCTAGTGCAGTCCAGCATAGAGCTATGTGAGCTCAGAGACAGAAGTTGGCAGAGAAAGGGCCTGGCCACCTGGACTAGCTCAGGTTCACACTTTTAAAACTACACTTAAACTCTTTAAATCAAAACCAGCCCTTACTTTTCTCAGAAGCTGACGTGCTGACAGTAGCTCTTCCTCGTGGGTAACCTGCCAGTAACATTAGACAACCATTTGCATGAACAGAGGAAGAGGAGAAATGTTCTGAGATGCCTTTGAGGATTCTGACTTTGGTCCTGGACCAGAGGACTCAGCTGGACCAGTCTCAAAGCTGTGCTCTAGACCAAACAAATAGAAAAGGCTTCCTAGGCCTCCAAAGAAAACACAGATAATTTTCAAAGAGCGATTCATTCCACCCTGTTTTAGACACTCATCTTAAAAGGAGATAAGTGCATCCCTGGAGATGTGTCTCCCTCTCCCCACTCACTACAGAGGAGGCCTGGCAGCTGGTGGAGGTTGTACCCCTGCCTCTGAGACTGGAGGTAAGAATGATGAAGAACACATCAGCAGAGTCTGTAACAGTGCCAGCCCACACCAGGAATTCATCTCCAAGGTTTGGAAAGACACTTTTCTGCCCCAGCAGCATGGCACCTCTGCAGCAGACCCACATGATGGCCACACAACAGACCCAGAACTGTCACAGAGAGACCACCAAGCACCAGCAGAGTCTGGGTGACCACTGCTGCGTGCACGGGCCAGACCTGCTCCCTCCAGGGAGTAAAATGGTTCCAAAAGAATACTGAGCTGGGCCAGTGACAGCATCCCTAGCGCCAGTGGGTATCCATCCCTGCCCGAGGAGTGCCGAGGCACTGTCATATTTCCCATCCATCACTTCATATACATTCTGCAGCAACGCACAGGACTCCATAACAACCCTGGCTGCGAGAACAACAGCATTCCCACGGCAGCTCGGCTGGAGCTGCCTCTTTGCACGAACACACTTTGCTTCTGTGCATACTGAACGGGTGCGTTTCTCTCTATATAGCTCATCCACCCAGAGAAACATTTACTTGACTAATTAGCCTTTCACTTGTGAATGCCTACGAGCACACTGAGACCCGCCGCAGGCTTTCCCTACTGGAATTTTTACAAGCCTCCCTAAACTGGTACATCAGCTCTGACCCCAGAGTCAAAATCTCAGCTACTTTGGTGTGACCAGTCCCAAGCTGGATGATGTGATTTCTCTCTGCTCACTGAGGGGAACACAACACTTCCAATCAAAAGGCAAGTGCCGAGATGTGGCTCTGGGAATTTAACACATCTAAGGGATTTTTTTGTTCCTGAGGCCTCTTTATGTTTTCATTCCTAAGGAAAAAATACACTCAACCAGGCCAACTGCATGAACGTTTGGCTGGGACCAGGGTTTAATCTAAGTTTTCTTCACAGCTTAATTGGGCATGCACAACCACACCATTCAAACCCGGGGGGTTGGGGGGGGCAGTTCCTTACTACAGGCTCAACACAATGGACCTTGAAAACTGCCCTTCTGCTAAGTATAGCCATGTCCTATGGTGTGTGCCATGAGCCACTTCCCATCGTCAGAAATTAGTCCCAGTGAAGCCTCATGGAGCAGCAGTGCTGTGAATCCTCCGTATGCAGGGGCACAGGGAGAAGCTGAAACCACTTTAAACTGAAATCAGGGGGTTGAGGAAGATAGCACGCAGATTAAGGATTTTAGTTTTTTTTTAAATCCCCCCTTTCCCTTTTGCAGTACTTGGCAACAACCAACACATCTGCCACAATGCATCAGGTCAAGAGCCTTTTCATTGTTAATGTCTACATCTCCCAGTAACCCACACTGACTACAGGGTGGAAACAGACCCAAACAGGCAGAAAACTGCAGTTACACTGAGTTGGGTGCTGGCTACAAACACACCCTTATAGCACCTTGGAAAATGCAGCCTCCTTTGACTTCTCTCACTGTCAAGACTTCTCACATCTTGCGAGCCTAACAAGCTTCTGCTTTCACAGAATCACAGAATCATATAGGCTGGAAGAGACCCTCAGGATCATCGAGTCCAGCCATCTACCCTATTCTAAAGTTCTCCCCTACACCATATCCCCCAACACCACATCTAAACGGTTCTTAAACACAGCCAGGGATGGTGACTCAACCACCTCCCTGGGCAGTCTATTTCCACCCTGCAAACCCTCTGGGACACCAGTGCATGTGGAAGTCAATGGGCACAGGCAGTTCCTGTGGCCTTCAGCTTCCCCTTAAAAACACAGCTGGAAATGAGATGTCCCTATCTGCCCAATCCTAAAAATCAGTCATTTTTACGGCCTCTTTACTAAGAAAATGCTTTCCACTGTGCTGTCTATGGGAAATTCTATCACCATTAAAGC